ATGGGTTAAAAAGCCATACCAAATTGATTTTAAGAGACGTGATTGAAAAAAAAAAGCTTTGATATGATTAGTAAAAAAAGAGAGAATGTGAAGAAAGTTTGATGTTGTATATGATTTTTGGCAAAGAATTGTGCCATTCTTTTCCTATGCGTTATTTTTCCATTTTGTCATTCTTTTACTTTTGACGTAATAGAAAGTGATAAGAATTTTTAATCTATTTCTCAATGCATTTGGTTAAATTTGATTCGATTGGTTAAACAAAACAGAGCACAGAATTAAGGGTTTAGGGATTTGATTAAACACTTTACATTTTCACAAATCTTCGTTTATAATGGCAAAAATAACGAAGCTTACATAATTCAAGAGTATGAAAAAGCTTAGTTAAGTTTAGCGAGTACTACGTGAGATTCGAGTTTAGTGAAAACAAAATAGAGTGGAGAACTTTAATCAAGAATATGATGTGATGTTTGATTCAACTAAATTTATGTTAATACAACAATATTGAAGAATGCTTACATAATTCAAGAGGAAGAAAGAAATGGAACAAATACTAGTTTTTAGAACTAGAAGCATTGTTGTTTGGAGAAGTTGCACGAAGAAATGAAGCACTTTTAGTAAGTTCCCGGAGTGGCTTATCTGTAAATCTGATAAAATTGTAAACAAAACCTCCGGCCAAAACTCCGACGAATGGACCCACAATGTAAACCCATATTCCTTTATATACCCCCATCACTATCGCTGGCCCTAAACTTCTTGTTGGATTCATTGATGCCCCAGAAATCGGTCTAATAATAACAATAACCCAAATTAGTATTTTTAATTGTATATGAGTTATGGTGATACTAATCTAACAAACAAAATAAATTTGTTAAATAGTGATTTTACCCGGCTACAAAGACGTTCAACATTATGGTCATTCCCACTGCAATTCCAGCTAATTCTCCAATCTGTCAAAATATTAAAACAATGGACATGAGAATTCCATTTGCATTTTTTCCTATAGGATTATTATTTTTGTTGCAATCGATACTACAACTAATTAGTTTTAAAACACTGATTGGTAGCTAACTCGTAACATTAACCGTAAGTTTTTGACCCTAAAATTTTGTGACTTAAGATAAATTTATATTTCACTTTTCTATTCCACTAGATTGATGATAGAAATTTTACTTCATCATACAACAACTATTTAGTTTAAATTTTATTTGCTTTTCATTTTTCATATTTTAGTCTGCATAGTAATATTAATTTGCCATAAAATCAAACAATTTTGTTTTTGTTTTTAATAAGGTCACCTTGTATGTGTATCCATGTAAATTTTCATAATCGACCAATATGAATAATTATACGAAAACATAAAAATATGAGATAAAATTACTAACCGCACGGCTGTCAGTGGCAACTCCGGAGATAACAAACATGAGGAGGAATGAGATTATGATTTCTGCGACGAGCGCTCGTATCGGTGAATCAGCCGGAGTTGTTCCGAAAAAAGCTTCACGAGTTACATTAAACATTAGTCTCAATGTCAAACTTGCTAGTAACGATCCCGCAAGTTGTGCACCTATATACGATGGAACCTATCCAACAAACACAAACGTATTCATTATTTAATATCAAAATTTTTCTTTTCCTAATTTGATAAGAGAATGAAAATATTTTTCTCGTGATTTTTTTCTAAGTTTATTTTCGTAACACTTAGATATGATTAAATAATTTAGTGTTTGAAAACAATCTATAGATTTTATACAAAGTAAAAATATAGAGAAAAAAAGTCACCTGATACCAAGGAAATCGTCGAAAAATGGCGAAGGTGATTGTGACCGTAGGGTTAAAATGCGCACCAGAAATGTGACCGAGAGAATAGATCATGACCATAACAATGAGGCCCCAAGTCACACATATCCCAGGAAATGTTATTGTTCCACCATACAATTTATTTACCACGACCACTCCACATCCAGAGAATATTATGAAATATGTCCCAATCATTTCCGCTATCAACTGTAATCATTTTTTAAAAACAGTAAACCAATTTTCCAAAAATATATTTACTATTGAATGTTACTTTGCAGTCTAAACAATACTTATATTTACCTTTTGGGTAAGACAAACAATGCTGGGAGAGGTACATATGACTGTCTCGATCCCTCCATGGCAGTCGATGCCTCTACCTTTCTCGAGTTTTGATATTTGTTCTTCTTCGATATTTTCGCTTTGTGAAGTCATTTTTTTGGTAAAGTACTAACAAAAATGGTTTTAGAAAAAGTCAGAGTGGAGATTTCTGTTTTTGTTTTTGTTTTTGGAGAAAGAAAGATGAATGTTTTGTGGTTTGAGAATTTGGAGATATTTAAGAGTTTTTATAGATGTGAAACAGAAATTAGTTGAAACCATCGCTTAAGGATTGAGTTAAATCTTATTGAGTTGGAGTGGGCTGTCATTAGATGTAAAAAAAACGGAAATAGGATTAGACTTTGACAATATGTGCAAATAGGTAAATTAGCAGCTACGGTTTGTTACTAATTAAAGAGTCACATTTTGATTTCCAAATATGGAATCCACCCAAATTATTTTATATAGTTCCTTCACTATCGTTAGATTCATTGAATGATCTCAAAATTGGTAAAAGAGAAAATCACAAATTTAGTAACGGAAAATTTTCATTGTAAGAATTTAAAGTTTTTTTTTTTTTTGTAGTGCACTTGTACATACAACATCCGGTAACACCGGCCAAAAAGAGCAACTGTGTAGGACTTATCCATCACAAAAAGGAGACCGAAAGACACAACAATAAGTTTTTAGAGGAAGCTATGAAAATGAAGAAAAGTGCAGGATGCATGTGGCATGCCCAATAATATGTCGATGTCTTTAGTAAACCAAAGTTCTCGTTTAATAGCTATTTTGCTTCAATTTTTTCTATACCAAACAATAAATAGAACTGAAGATTTAGTTACGATTAGAAANAAACTTTTCTTGCTTTATCCATGGATCCTCTTGTTATANTTATTGAATTGTAAATAATAATCCAATTCAAAAATTNTGTTTCGGAATTTCATAATCCAAATTTACAATTGATTAGAGTNTTTGGATACNANTTACGAGAATCTATAATCTTCCTTGAATCTTTCATTGAAAGGTAAANGACTAAATCCTTTTAAGAAATAAAGTTTTTGATCGGAAAATTAATCAAACCGAGAGACCCTTTAACTATTAAAGGCACCGATCTCTTTAACAAATTTCCATGTCCTACTTCTGTTTGCATCGCTTTTATGTTTAGGAGGTAGACTTTTGTGTTAGGAATGAAGCTTCTTAACCATTTTAGTTGATTCAGTATATATGTTTGTTTTATTATCTTGCTTGCATAGTATCTCTTTAATATTCATTGCATGAATTAATAGATGTCGGTTCTGACTTGATTTGTTTAAATTGATGAACCTATATATAAACTTTGGTTTTAAAAAATAAACATTCAATACATGAAACGTTTGGTTAAAGATTATATTGGGAGATCGAGATGTCGAAATCGACCAAGAATAAACGGTCAATATCACCCGAGAATGAACGGGCAAGATCATCCGAAAATGAATGGTCAAGATCACTAACCAAGATTATGGAAATAAGGAAGATTTCCAGAAGATTGTCAATATTGAAGATATTCGGAAAGTTAATATTTGTGTATAAGTTATATTTTCTATTCCGTAAATGTAAAGAATTTGTTAGACAAGTTATGATCTTTGTATAAATAAACATATTTGGCTAATGAATAAAATTTAGAGAAACTATTATACTACTAAGGTTTTCTCCAAAATCTATCGTGGTATCAGAGCCTAGATCCAATTCCTATGGATTTATGTTTTCTTATATTCTGCAATTCGAATTTATTCTATATATCTAATTAACTTCAAAAGAAAGTTTGGTTTTGTTTAGATTTTTTTCCTTGATCGATTGAAAAGAAGAAAAAAAATGAGTATTTTATTTGGAAAGGGTTTTAAATTCGTTTTTTTTTTCTCTTTCTTCTTAACACTGATTCTTCTCCAATTAATCTAACTAGATTTTGACCCACACCAAGCGTGGTATTAAATAATTAAATATATTTTAATCTATTTTAATATGTAAATGTGTCTAACAAATCATATGATTTCTAATATTTATAAACTTACAAAATGATATGCATTGTTCATAAGTATAATCAAGTTAAATGTTGATCAAGCATATTTTGATGCCATCAATTTTAATATTTTTATGTGCAATTGATCAGAACATATGAAAATGTTAATTTATTTCAAAATATTTTAAGTGTAAAATTAATTTTTATTATTCATGTAAATTATAAAGCATGCGATAAATCAATTAAATTTTAGATTTATATGAATTTGTCGGACATAATAAAAGAAAAGCAATATTTATTTTTCAATAATGAAATGCGTTAAAATTTTATATATCATATTAATCTAAATACATATATAAACAATAAATAATATTGTCACAAATATAATAGTAAAAAGTTTATAAAATATAAAAGAAATTTTTAAAATAGATAATATGATAAATCTAAATATTACATTTAGTTGGACTTAGATTTGCAAAACATGTATTAATGGGTTTATGCTAAAAATTAATAAGAATATGTAGAATTAATTGAAATATTTTCATTGGTTAATTTAAATGACATGTTCTTTGAAATCCTCATTGAGTGACACATAGGATTTTCACCTTAGTGTCTCTTCAATTAATATATAGAGGATGAAGTTTTGTTGTCTTTCTATTAAAAAAAACAAAAAAAAATTGCTTTGATTTTCTATCGAATTCATCTACTTTTTTTTCTTTGACCTTGTTATCCTTCGATCTCTTCTTCGTTGGAATATTCTTAACTAGGGATTGTCCACGCGTTGCATGGAGTTTAAAAATTAACATTAATAATTTCTACTTATTGGTTATTTTTGTATTTAATATTATATAAATTTGGTGTTTATAGTAAATAATTATCTAAATTATAAGACTAAGTATTTGTATCAAATTGTTGGACATATACAATGTTATATGACTTTAAAAGCTATGAAAGCATTTAAAAACGTTTAAGTTCTAAATTTCTCCAATTAGACTTGTTGGATTTAACAGCTCTAAAAGTCCTAAAATCATTCTTAGAATCATTTTAAATTAAATTTCTCAGGTTATACTTCTTTTTATTAAAACTA